AGACCAGACGTGAGAGGGAGGCGTCGGGTCAGGAGACAGAGGAGGGGACACGGGTGCGGAACGGGGAGGAAGGCGCGCCGGGGACGAGTCCGGCGGAGGGAACACAAGGCCGTAGACAGGAAGAGGAGGAGACGGCAGGAGAGGAACAGACGCAGGGTCAGGGGACGGAAGGCCGAGCAGACGAAGGGCGGACACCGGCGGGGACTGCCTCTGCGGCGACACAACACCAACACCAGGACCGCTAGCTGCGCGACGGCTACCTCCAGTACCCTCCACGCCGGCACCCCCAGAAGGGACACCCCCAGAGTCTGAAACCCCGCCAGCACCGGTACCACCCCCTAGCACGCCGGGACAAGCCACGACAGGAGCCCCGCGACTAGTACCCACCTAAACGCCAGCACCCCCAGAGTCCACGAACTGCGGCAGCGACGACAGCGACGGCGGCGGCGGCGGAGACGACGGCTGCAGCAGCTGCGGCGACGGCGGCTGCGGAGGCGGTGGAGGAGGAGACACCGGGGGAGGGACAGACGGCGAGGATTGCGCCGGAGGACTACCAGAGTCAGAAGACTCCTCGACCGGGACGACCGACGGGAGGGGGGTGACGTGAGACACACCAGAGGGGGCAGGACGGGGAGGAGGGGGGGGGGAGGGGCAGGGACCACCGGGGAGGGAGGAACCAGGAACAGGGGGGGAGTAACCGGGGGACCACGGTGGGGGAAGCGGCGGTAGAAGGAGACGGACTCGTCAAAGGTGACGTCGCGAGAGTGAAAGAAGCGGTGAGACGGCGGGTGGTAGAAGTGCCAGTCGGACGCGTCAAGGGGGAAACCGAGGAAGACACAGGGGAGGGTGCGGGCAGTGAGCTTGTCCGTGCCAGAGGCACGAACGTGAGCAAGGCAGCCCCAGACGTGGAACGCAGACGCGTCACCAGGGGACCCGGTCCACAGAAGGGTCGGCGAAACCTGCGGCCGCTTGTGGTGCGGCCACAGGTTAAGCTGGTGAGCAGCGTAGCGCACGGCGAACGGCCACAGAAAATGGGGTGCACCGGCATGGATCATGGAGGTGCGAGCCACCTCCATGACCAAACCGATGCGTCGCTTAGCGACCCCATTCTGCTGTGGGGAGTCCGGCAGGGTAAACGTCTGGGTGATGCCCTCCGCACGACAGAAGCGACCAAGGACACCTGAGGCAAACTCGCCACCACGGTCGGAGTGAAGACGCAAGACAGGGAGACCGCGGTGGACACGAGCAGAAACAAGCGAGGGGATGAGAACGTCAGGCACGTCGGCCTTCCGCTCCAGGGGAAAGACTGTGGTGTAGCGCGTGAAGTCGTCGACAAGCACGAGGAAGAAGCGCTCGCGACGCGGCCCATGGACGGGGGCGGGGCCCCAGACGTCCATGTGCAGAGTCTGCAGTGGCGCGGCGGTAGGGGGAAACGAGGAGGAGTGAGGGGCACGGAGAAGTCGGCCCTCGACGCAAGGCGTGCACCGGTGGGGCGGGGGAGGAGGGAAACTCGGGGAACGAACCGGGGAGACCAAGGACGAGACCGTGCTGGGACATGTGACGCAGACGCGGGAGCGCATGGTGACCTAGGCGGTGGTGCCACAAGAGAGTCGGGTGGGTGAGGGACCGACAAGAGCAAGCAGCAGCAACCTGAGTAGACGCAGCCACCTAGGGGGACACCCCAGCCGGGGAAGTCACGGTGTCCAGTGTGAACAGGCCGGACACCGGGTCCCGGGGGAACGTGGTAAGGGGAGCACCAGTGGCGGCCTCGGTACAGACAGCATACCGCTCGTGACCAGGGAACGTAGTGGTGACGCCAAGGTCCTGGAGGCAGCCGACACCAACTAGGTTCCTGGAGAACGAGGGGATATGTAGACCTGTGAGAGAGCCCGAATGAACCGCCGGACAGGGAAGGGTGGTGGAACTGCGGGCGACTACCGGACCGCCAGAGGGGTCAGCAAGAGAAACTGTTGCAGGAACAGGCAGCGGCATCAGCGTAGTGGAGTCGCGGAAGAAACACCGGGAAGCGCCAGAGTCCAAGGTGAAGGAAAGCACAGCAGTGGCGTCTGACGGCGGAGAAGCGGCGGAAGTACCGAGGCTAAACAAAGCAGGAGATCCTACGCCTGACGCAGCAGGGGAGTCTAAGCTAGGCACACCTACACTAGGCAACAAGGGGTAATAAGAGGGAAGCACACTAGAGTCATCAGCATACATCACATGCAGGGCGGCTACAATGGCATCCATGTCCAAATAAAAAATCTGAACTTGACGCCTAAGCAAACTGTGCCAGTCCGGGAGGTCGGGCGACGGGCCGAAGCGCTGACGGAACAGGTCGTCCAGGCGACGAAAACAGCGAGGAGTGGAATGACCGATCTTACCGCAAACGAAGCCGCGGCGAGGACCGGTCTGGATCTGGTACTGACAGCGCACGCCTCCGAAACCACCATCCGGCACACCACCGCGCGCACGGCCACCACCAGCTCCAGGCCACCCGGGCGGGAGGGCACTCGCCTGCCTCGACTGCTGCGACTGCTGCGGCTGCTGCGGCTGCGGCGGCGGCTGCGGCTGCTGCTGCTGCTGCTGCGACGGCGGAGGCGGCTGCTCAGCTGGAGAAGGCGGGGTCCCCTCGTCCGTTCCAGCTCCAGACAGCCCGCCTCCACCACCACCCCCACCACCACCCCCTCCTCCCCCGCCGCGCCCAGCCTTGGGGCGGCTGCCCTTCCCCGGACGGAACTGCGCTGCGGCAGCGGTCTCAGCCACAGCGGCAGAACCATCAGAGAAGGTGCACTGAGAAGGGGCAGAACCCTGAAAGATAGGGACCGGCACAGTACCGCTCGCCTGGGCGATAGAGCGGTGGCGGGTCTCAATCACAGTCAGGGTGTCTACAAAGTCTGTGAGGGTGAGCTCAGCGAGGTGAATGCCAAGGAACTAGTCGCGAGCAGCGGCAAGGCGATCAGGGAGGCGGGTGGCAAGCAGGTAGAGGGTAGAGGTCATGGGCGGCTGGTTTGGTCTAAGCTGAGCATCAGTGCAGGCAGCGCGCCAGGCCTCGTCTATAGTGCGCAGGTGGGCAGCGAGGTCCGCGACAGTGGGGAAAGACGCAAGGTCAGGAAAGAGCATCGGGAGGATCAGGCGACCCACGGATGCAGCAGGCGGGGTGGAATAGCGCTTGATGACAGCATCTAAGAAGGCCTGAGCGGTAGTGATAGACCTAAAGCGGGGACGCTCCGACAGGGGTAGGGCATTGCTAATGGCAAGCTGCGCGACAGCGTCTCGGGAAAGCCAGACAGAGCGAGCAAGGGCAGCAGCGGCAGCAGACTCGCGCTCAGCGGATGTGGGGGCAACAGGCAGCACAGCAGGAGGATCTGGGCAGGGAAGCATACCGTCAAGGTGTGCCGAAAGTGAATGACCATCCTGCCGCTGGCCCGTGAGGTGGCGGCGGAGGTCGGCTAGCCACGCCTCGAACTCAAGAGGCTGGCCTTCAGCGTCGAAGCGAAGCTCTGCCGCCATCAGGAACAGCGCAGTGCAGGGCAGTGCAATGCAGTGCAGTGCGGGGCAGTGCGATGCAGTGCGGTGCAGTGCGGGGCAGTGCGATGCAGTGCGGTGCAGTGCGGTACAGTGCGGTGCAGTGCGGTACAGTGCGGTACAGTGCGGTGCTGTGCGGTACAGTGCGGTGCTGTGCGGTGCAGTGGGGTGCAGTGCGGTGGAGAACCGTACCAGGGAGAGTGCAGAACGGACGGTCGTAGGGCCGGCGAGGAAGGGCCGGAAGTCGACGCGGGGCCGGCCGGGACGAGCGCGAGAGCCGGCTGGGACGGGCGCGGGACCGGCAGAAACGGGCGCGGGGCCGGCTGGAACAGACGCGGGGCCGGCTGGTACGGGCGCGGGGCCGGCTGGGACGGGCGCGGGGCCGGCTGGGACAGGCGCGGGGCCGGCTGGGACGGGTGCAGGGGCGGCCTGAGAGGGGCACGGGGCCGGCTGGGACGGTCGCGGGGCCGGCTGGGACGGTCGCGGGGCCGGCTGGGACGATCGCGGGGCCGGCTGGGACGGTCGCGCGGCCGGCTAGGACGATCGCGGGGCCGGCTGGGATGGTCGCGGGGCTGGCTGGGACGGTCGCGGGGCCGGCTGGGACGGTCGTGGGGCCGGCTGGGACGGTCGCGTGGCCGGCTGGGACGGTCGCGGGGCCGGCTGGGAAGGTCGCGGGGCCGGCTGGGACGGTCGCGTGGCCGGCTGGGACGGGTGCAGGGGCGGCCTGAGAGGGGCACGGGGCCGGCTGGGACGGTCGCGGGGCCGGCTGGGACGGTCGCGGGGCCGGCTGGGACGATCGCGGGGCCGGCTGGGACGGTCGCGCGGCCGGCTGGGACGATCGCGGGGCCAGCTGGGACGGTCGCGGGGCCGGCTGGGACGGTCGCGGGGCCGGCTGGGACGGTCGCGTGGCCGGCTGGGACGGTCGCGGGGCCGGCTGGGACGGTCGCGGGGCCGGCTGGGACGATCGCGGGGCCGGCTGGGACGGTCGCGCGGCCGGCTGGGACGGTCGCGGGGCCAGCTGGGACGGTCGCGGGGCCGGCTGGGACGGTCGCAGGGCCGGCTGGGACGGTCTAGGAGAGGCGCGACGGGCTAGGAGGCGCGACGGGCTAAGAAAGGCGCGACGGGCTAGGAAAGGCGCAACGGGCTAGGAGTCGCGCGACGGGGCCAGGAGGCACAAACGAGGGGGCCCAGGAGGGGCGTGACGGTTGCTAGGGGGGCGCGACGGGCCCAGGGGGGCGCGACGGGGCCCAGGGGGGGGGCGCGACGGGCCCAGTGGGGGGGGGGGCGCGACTGGCCCAGGGGGGCGTGACGGGGCCCAGGGGGCGCGACGGGGCCCAGGGGGCGCGACGGGGCCCAGGGGGGGCGTGACTGGTCCTAGGTGACGCGACGGGGCCTAGGGGGCGCGACGAACGGGAGTAGATCCGAGGGCGGAAGCGTGGGAGGGACCTACCTACGGTACTGCTGATACCATCTTAGAACTGAAGAAGTGAGTTTAGAATGAGAGTACAAGGGTATATACCTAAGAGTGTTGTACCCTCTAAGAGGTGACCCTATACAGTCTATACAAACATGAGTTATAGATATGTTTGACAGTTATTACATATATATGTAACTTCAGGAAAAATTGTGATGAGTTGACAAGCTTGAGACGTGGTAATTGAATATTTCAATCTCATAATTTCAGTAGTATACGGAATCGCCATCCGTGCCTGGATTTTGTCAATTACTAAGTTACACTTCGCAAGGATCTTTGTTACTGGGTTTTTACTACACGCTGAAGAACATTGTACCAAGCCATTCTACACGTTTTTAAGGGCATGGGGCAGAGGGGGAAAGCAAGGGTGATTGGGAGAGAGCACGATCTAGGGGGTGAGAGCATGGATGATCTGTTAAAATTATATAAGTTATAATTTTATATAGGCTTGGTAGGTTGCTACTGAACCTTTCTGTAGGGGGTACAAACCCCTCCTTGTACTCCCTTCTCTTCCTAATCCAACACTCTTTCTTCTCGACTTTCCTCCTACTCCTAGATCCGTTTTTCCTAGCGCCGTTCCATGGCGGCCTTGCTCCTATCCTAGCTAAGCTAGTGTCCTAACTTTAGGGACCTAGCATCCTAAGTTCTTAACATGGTATCAGAGCAGGAGATCCTTCCTGCTGGACTGCCTCCTCTCGCTTCCGTCATTTACTCCTCACCCTCATTCACTCCAGCGGCCATGGCGGCCGCGTTTTGCTGCAGTGGCGACGTCGCGCTGCCACTGGGCGCGTCGTGCCGCGACCGGCCCGACGCGCTGCCGCGGAGTCGGGCCGTCGTTCTGCAGTCGCAGCGTCGACGCCCCGCTGCGGCATCGACGCTGCCATGGCGGCCGCGGCGGCGTCACGCTGTGGCGTCGTCGTCTGTTCGCCGGCTGCGCCGTCCTGCCGCGGCCGTCTCGACACGCGACCGGGACGACGTCAGCGCGACGCCGCGGCTGCGCCCCTCCTGGGCCTCGTCGCGCCCTGCCTGGCCTCATCGCACCCGCTCGGCCCCGTCGCGCCCTGCCTGGCCCCGTCGCCCTCTGCCCGGCCCCGTCGCCCCCTGCCAGGACGCCGTCGTCCCGCCTGTAAGCGCCGCGCCATTTATGGCGCGACGCTGAAGACTCGCCCCGCCCCCCCCCCCCCCCCCCCCCCCCCCCCCCCCCCATTCTCCCTTCCCCCTGCGTCTTCCCTTCCTCCTGTCGCAGCTGCTGTCTTCTGCCCGGACGTTGCCACATCGCCGAGAGCCCTCAGCCGCGGCAGTCGCCGCCTGTCGTCGGCGACCCAGCCGCCTTGAGCCAGAGCTCCGCGGCTGCTTGTCGCTGACCCGCCTAGACGCCGTCGGCTGCCTCGTGTACGGGGGTGTGTCAACGCTTTGCCTGAGGGTCAGATACCCGGCTAAGCACGAGCCTGAGGGTGTGCGGGGTTAGGGGGTGGGTTGGGTGCGGGTGTGGGGGTGTGAGTGGGCTTGACACTACCAAGCCTAGGGGGTGTGTTAAAATTATATAAGTTATAATTTTATATAGGCTTGGTAGGTTGCTACTGAACCTTTCTGTAGGGGGTACAAACCCCTCCTTGTACTCCCTTCTCTTCCTAATCCAACACTCTTTCTTCTCGACTTTCCTCCTACTCCTAGATCCGTTTTTCCTAGCGCCGTTCCATGGCGGCCTTGCTCCTATCCTAGCTAAGCTAGTGTCCTAACTTTAGGGACCTAGCATCCTAAGTTCTTAACATGATCCTCTTTCCCCCCCAAACAGTTCCCTCCCCTCCCTCCCTCCAGCACCAATTCCTCCCCCCTCCTGGGTCATCCCTTCCCCATCCGATGTCCCCCCCCCCTCCATGCATAGCCCTCCCTCTCCCCCTTCCAGTCTAAACCCCCTACCCCACCCCTTCCTTCCTCCCCTCTTTCCAGAGTGACAAAAACCCTCTGAGTGGGAAGCAGGAAGGGGGAGAGAGCATGGGAGGGGGGGGGGCTGAGCACGGGGGCTTAGGGGAGTGAGCATGGGAGAGGGGGAGTGAGCATGGGAGAGGGATAGAGAGCAGGGGAGCGGGGGGAGAGAGTAGGGGAGAGGGGAAGAGAGCAGTGGAGATAGAGGAGAGAGCAAGAGAGAGAGGGGAGAGATCAGGGGAGAGGGGGAGAGAACAGGGGAGAGGGGGAGAGAGCATGGGAGAGGGGGAGTGAGCATGGGAGAGGGGGGGTGAGCATGGGAGAGGGGGAGTGGCCATGGGAGAGGGGGAGTGAGCATGGGAGAGGGGGAGTGAGCATGGGAGAGGGGGAGTGAGCATGGGAGAGGGTGAGTGAGCAGGGGAGTGGGGGAGTGAGCATGGGAGAGGGTGAGTGAGCAGGGGAGAGGGGGAGTGAGCATGGGAAAGGGAAAGTGAGCACGGGAGAGGGGGAGTGAGCATGGGAGAGGGGGAGTGAGCATGGGAGAGGGGGAGTGAGCATGGGAGAGGGGGATTGAGCATGGGAGAGGGGGGAGAGATTAGGGGAGAGGGGGAGAGAACAGGGGAGAGAGGGGAGAGAGCAGGGGAGAGGGGGAGAGAACAGGGGAGAGGGGGAGTGACGAGGGGAGGTGGGCAGAGCGACATGGGAGAGAGTTGGGGGGGTGAAAGAGGCGCGCAGCATGAGGTGAGCAGTGGGAACTGAGGGGATAGGTGTGAAGTGTGGGGAGAGAGAGGTAGGAGTGTGAGGGGAGGGAGGTGGGAAGTGTGGGGGGGGGGAGGTGGGAACTGCGAGGGGAGGGAGGTGGGAAGTGTGGGGAGAGAGAGGGACGTGGGGAAAAGGAAGGGAAGTGGGTTAGGAGGTGGGTAACGATGGGAAAAGGAAGAGGAAAAGGAAGGGACTTTCGCGGGGAAAGGAAGGGAAGTTGAGTGGTGAACGGTAGGGATTGGAGCGGGGACCAGGAAGGGATAGTGGGTGGGGTAAGTAGGGATATAACTGGGAAAGGTAGGGATAGGATCTTGGAAAGCAACAGATAGGAGAGGGAAAAGGAAGGAATCATAGTGGGGACTGGTCGGGGCGCAAAAAAGGGTTGAGGAAGGTAAAAAGTATGGGATAGGCACGGGAGAGGAAAAAGATAGGTGCGGAGAAAGTAAGGGCTAGGTGTGGGGAAGCGTGCAGGTGGGGAAGCGGGGTTGCCGGGAAGCGGGAAAGCGGGGAAGCGGGCGGGGCTACGAAGCGGGAAAGAGGGAAATCGGGGAAGCGAAAAAGCCGGAAGCGGGGAAGCGGGAAAGCGGGAAGTGGGGATGCGGGAAAGCGGGGAGGCGGTGAAGCGGGATATGGGGGAAGTGGGAAAGCGGGAATGCGGGGAAGGGGGAGAGCGGGACCGCGACAAAGTGAATGTGGGAAGCGGGACCAGGGCAAGCGGGAAAGCGGGTATGCGGGAAAAATGGAAGAGGGAAAAGTGGGAGTACGGGAGAGCGATAAGACGGAAGGCTGCGCAAAGTGGGTGAGCGGGATAGCAGGTGAGCGGGATAGCAGGAGAGCAGCGACACAAGCCGAGCTCAACCAAAACAACGGGAAGCGAGATGTGGGGAGTGGGAAGCGGGAGGCGGGCATCGGCAGGGTTGACTGAGTGGTGCGTTGGCTAGGTAATCGAGTGGCGGGCTGGCTAGGTTCTCGAGTGGCGCCTATCTGGCTTCGGAAATCGAGTGGCGATGCCTGGCTTGGTAATCGCCTGGCGGGCTGGCTAGGTTTTTACGTGGCACACCCTGAGGTGTCCGTGACGCTAGATAGGGAGGGACTTGCATACAGGTCGAAGGTCTGTTTGTGAGTGATGCTTGCTGAGGGGTTGTAGTAACGACGTCCAAGCACGTTCGTGTCGCGTCGTGAATTAGGGGTATGCCCGCTGCCTAAATATTTCACCACACAGTTCTTATAAACTACGAAATTCGTGGCATTGCGCTGTTGGAGTAGCGAAAATGGCGAGGATGAAGCCATGGCTCCAGAGCAGAGAATAAACTCCAAGAGGCTACGTGGTGTGGCGACGAGGTGATTCTTTTCTGCTGGGAGCTGGCTGCATTGTAGGGCTGTCACTTGGTGTTATGATATAGAAAGTGTCACTGAATAATAATGTGAGAATCCAAGGTCGCTATTGCAATGAAGGCACAAGGTTATATAGGGGTTGGCATGCTAGGGCGATAGCCTCGAAACGTGGGTAGGTTTGGCAATGTGGCGACAGTGCCAGGCGCGACTCGAGAAAGGATTGGGCCAACAAATGAGGCCGAGCGTGTCGAGTCGAGGAGTTCGGGTGTACGCGCTAGCGTACGACTCAGTAAGGAATGGAAATTCCTTACACTACTCCCCCCCCCTAAACGAGGATGCAGTCATCAGAAACCTTCCGACGCTGATAATACGCTATTAGAATCGGGTGTGATTCTATATCAGCGAGGGGGACCCAGCTGTCATCCTCAGACGTCTGATCACGCCAGCGGATTAAGAAATCCACCATCCGATGGTTCTGCTGCGTAGTAACGCGGTAACCGAGAATCTTCAGAAGCTCGGTTGCCGGTTCCTGCTGGGGCGTCAACTGCAGGACGAGTCGTTGACGTGCCAGATCCGACGAGCTCGAGAGATAGGGCCGCAGGAGGCTGACGTGGAAAGCCGGGTGGTGATGCCAGTCAGCCGGTGGTCGGAGGTGTGCTGTGACAGGTGTCACCATGTTGGTCACTTGGGGTCCACAGTAGCGGGGGCGGAGTTTGCTTGGAATCGGCAGGGACAATTTGCGAGTGTCGAGTAGTACAAGGTCCCCCACTTTGTAGGTGACGTCACATCGGTGGCGATCGGCTTGTCTGCTTGCGACCAGGTTGGCTTTCCTGATGGCCTCGGCTGCTATTTCTCGAGCGGCGAAGATGTCTGCTGCAAAACGATGGGACCAGGGCATTAGGGTCTCGATATTGGGTGTAGAGGGTACCACGAGGTCTTGTCCGTGGTTTAGGAAAAAAGGGGATTGATGGGTTGTGGCTGAAGGCGCGTTCGAGAGGCCAAAAGGCATAACTCAAGAAGATACAGTAATCCAGCTGCTGCTGTAATTCTTCTTGTTCCGGTTGGCTGAGCCGAAATTGGCGCTGTACAGTCGGTTGGGCGCCTGGTTCCAACTCGATCCTGTGGTCCTTAGCAGGCCTCTCGATGTTCCCGAAGGGCCCCCTGCAGAATCCGAGTTAGTCGCGCAACCAACTCGTCCAAGCTGGGTAACCCAAAAAATGTTGACTGTTTTTGCAATGCAGTTTTGGTGGTTTCCTGGCATGTGCAGGGTTTCAAGGTCGCGTTCACTTCTTCGAAAAGCACCGAACTTTTCCTTTCACCAATTTCATCTACAAGTGTTCGGATGTTATTATGTGCTAATAATAATTAAAAAAAACCCAAACGATTGACTACAAGTGCAACCGCCACTTCACCAATTAATTGCCTACTACAAAAAATACGCCCAACCCACAGGTACAAATGCCCCACTTATATGAAGCACAGAGGCATGGTCCAGGAAAGCACGTTTTCCCCAACCAAACCTCTTTGGGGAAACGAGCTTGGCTGAGAGAGGCTTGGTTGGGGGAACGAGTTTGGCTGAGAGGGGCTCGGTTGGGGGAAATGAGTTTTGTTCAGAGAGGCCTGGTTGGGGGAAATTAGTTTGGTTCAGAGAGGCTTGGTTGGGGGTAACGAGTTTGAGTTAGAGAGGCTTGGTTGGGGAAGCTGCAACATCCAATCAGGGTCTGGCGCGCTTGCCGAAAACCCAAATGGGCCACTTGGGATTTCGGGAGCGGTTTTGCCCGAATCCCTCCCTCAACGGAGAAGAGGGGTTCCTAGCTCGGTAACCAGGCCTTACAGACGGATGTTACAGGGCGATACATTCCACTACTCGGAAATCGGACGTGGAATGTTGTTGCCTAGTCTGCTAGTGAACGTGTACTTCAAATCTGGATGCGTAGAAATCAGGGTAGTACACCAAAATCACCCTGCTTTCGTTGAGTAAGCAGGGTAATTAGCCGGACATCGAGAGGCCTGGTCCTCAGATCGGCTCGGCGGGAGTCCAACTGGCAGACCGTCCGGGAAAATCTCTGGGTATTTCCGAATCAGGTCCGCTAAATCCGGAGGGACGACCTTGAACAGCTTCTCAATATCTTCGTCCTCGACCGTCGATGCCAACTCGCGAAGATCAACAGCATATGCTCTCGCTCCAGCCCGCAGCACCTTCTTAAAGGTGATTGCATGGACTTGGGTGCTTCGCATGCTAGGCCCCATCCACTTGGGCAGCTCGCGTGAAATCCCATCGAGCTTGATGCTGCATCCGCCCGTCGTCCAGTCGATCTTCGGGTTGTACCTTCGCAACCAATCACGTCCCAGCAGCACATCGCATCCGTCAAGAATCGTCGCCAGTAGCCCCATCCGAAATTTTACGTGCTCCCCATTTGTAAAGCTGACGTTCTCCACCCGCTCTCGTATTGCCAGCGGCATGCCATCTACCAGGCGGGCGTCAATCTCAGGTAACCACCTTAGTAAGGGTATACCCGATTTCTTAGCCCTGTCCAGCTGTCTGAGACTGTGACTCGCACCTCCATCAACGAAAAGTCTTCAAAAACACCCCGTTGAATTTATCCTCCACCAACATAGGGTGATCAGTAGTTTCGTCCCCCTTATTCGCCCGGGTCCGGTCGATTGCAGCCATCGGGATCACGACCCAGTGGGGACTACTGTATGTGGTTCGGACGAGGAAGCCTGCCCGTCAGTAAGGGGCCCTGTACTTACTGACGCGAACCATTTCCCGGTCGCTCCTCCGGCTTCTTCCTCATAGAATTCTGTAGGGCTATGAATTCTTGGCAGTTGCGTCCGATATGACCTGGCCGGCCACAGTGGTAGCATAGCCCCGTATTTCGCGGAGCAACTGCGTAAATATCCACAGTGTCCACCCATTTTATCGTAGCGCGCTGGTACTGTTCGCGAGGGCGACCTCCGTCGTAGAAGTTCGTCCTCGGCTTTGTGACCGAATTAGCGGCTTCGGCGAGCTGGATGCACTCTTGTAACAGCTTTGCAGGGCATTGCCGTTTTATATGGTATTGTATTTTGGGCTTCAAGCCGCCGATGTACCTGTCGACTTTCTCCAGCTCGTGCATGTAGCCACATCTGTCCACCAACTTCAGGAACGACGCGGTGTACTCGGACACAGATCCCAGCTGCCTCCACATGCGTAGAGTTTTGCGTGCCTTGTCTGAGTCAGGAGCATACTCAAACCGCTTATGAAGCTCTGCGCACCACATTGCCTACGTGCAAAGATGGGTCGCTCCGAAGAACAGGTCTGCCTCGGCTTCGTCGCCGATTTTTTCGGACCACTCGTGCTGTTCTTGTGTGCGAGTTGCCGCTGAGTCGACGATGACCTTCCACTGTAGGGCGGCCCCTTGCAATAGTGTTTTCGCGTGGCTGATCCGCTTCTTATCGTCTCTGATACCCGCCGCGTTAAAATAGATATTCATGGCGAATATCCACTGCCGCACTGTCACACCTTTATTAGCTAGGTCGAATGGAGCGGGTTGCTGATATCTTACGCTGCCACTTGTCGAGCGCGGGAATGTTGCTGCCTGTCATGCCAGATCGACTGGCGACGGCCGCTGTTCACCCGCCTCGCTTCGTGCATCGTCGCCCGGCTCCTATGGGCACTTCTCCTTTGCCTGGCGAAGATGCTGGTTCACGTCACGGAGGTCGTTGATGACGCTTGTCAGACTCTTCAACTGCTCCATTAATGCTTGCAGATCCACAGTTTCCCGCGCAGTGTTCGCAGCAGTCGAGGTGGTTTGTCCCTCAACTGTCGAATCTACTGGGGCCATGGCGGTCAGGACGGGGCAGAAGCTAGCGCACACGCTGTAGTTGCTGGCGTACAAATATTTACGACCCAATGCAACTGCTGTGCAGCCGTGCTAATCCCCTCTGACCACCCTTAACTAAGTTAACGGAAAACGGAAGGTTCCTGGAAAGGTCGGGCTCTGATACCAGCTGTTACGATATGGAAAGTGTCACTGAATAATAACGTGAGAATCCAAGGCACGAGGTTATATAGGGGTTGGCATGCTAGGGCGATAACTTCGGAACGTGGGTAGGTTCGGCAATGTGGCGACACTGCCGGGCGCGACTCGAGAAAGGGTTCCGACAAATGAGGCCGAACGTGTCGAGTCGAGGAGTTCGGATGTACGCCCTAGCGTACGACTCAGTAAGGAATGGAAATTCCTTACACTTGGCCAGTCAGAAACCCGCATGCCAATCCATCCCCCCCCCCCCCCCCCCCCTCCTCGAGGCCCGAATGGGTTACCAAGTTTGTTTGTTTTTGTTTTTTTTTTTTTTTTGGTACATGAACCTTGAAGTTATTCCGTGCGCTCGCTTTAGATACCTAAACTACATTGATGCAAGTCAATGACTTGTCAAGAACTCTTATATATAGGCTTAAATTCAGTCTATATTTTATATTTGCCCAACATTTCTTGAATTTTAATTGGCGCCTATACTTCATATATTTGTGAAAAATGCTTGAATGCGGTTTATGATCACGTTTCTGTTGCTCAAACCCTATTTTTGTAATGAAACATACAAGGTTTTGTATAGAGACCTCCTGATATAAGTACATTTCGTGCTAGATGCGTGGTTTGTAAAGTGAAACGTTTGTAGAACGAAGGTTATTGGGATGATCCCGATTCCTCCCCTGTTAGAAATATTCAAGCTCTATTGAAGATGAGCAAGTTTCGAAGTTCGACGCAGAATCTAGGTGGGCGGCTCGTTTGACGCTCGTTGACAGGCGTTTCCCGTAAATGTTGACGGAAGGGGATAACTGCCGATCCCTATTCCTAAAAGCGGACAAAGTCTTTGACACGTGGACACCCTTTCCACAGACTGTTATGAACATTCTTGTTATGAGTGGGAATGGAACAACCACTCAATAATGGGAATACAACCTCCGAAAATAATCCATTAAGCGAGTGACGAGCAAACTGGCTAAAATAGGGCAGGGACGTGCTAGGGCGAGCTAGGGCGAGAA